TTTACAACACACGTCTTACTGGATCCATGAATTAAGAGCCAGAAACCATCCAGGATAAATGAGGAAAAGTACCTCTTACGTTACTTTTCATATTTGTGCTTTCTGACATTGTTTATTTCATATTCATTTATGTCAGATTTTTCTTGTGCAAATATATGTCAGGTTACAGGAGACCTGTGTCCAGATTGGTACATGCTCATATTATGTGACGCATCACTTTTGTCTCTTATAATGTATGTATATACTTTTGTGTGGCTCATTTGTCACGTGTCAGTGTCGTCATGTGAACGGTACACAGATGTTGTATAAGCAGCTCTTGGGGTCAAAATAAGCTCACTCTGTACTGTCTGCATCTAATTATAAAGTGTCTTATTGTCATTGTCAAGTTATGAAAAGTGCTTCTAAACTCACTTTAAATAGGTCAAACTCAAAACGTTCACATAACGCCGCGCTGACCGCATCGCTGCACTGATGTACTTTTGAATATAAATTTCCTTCTTCCCACTCCATTTCGAGAAATGTGCTTTTCTGTTGTTTACAACAGTTGTACATATGTAGTCTGCATATGATTATTGTTTCTCTCATGGCACAAACTCGAAATAAAAACAAATCAATAAAAAAACAAACAGCGAATATGTTTTGGACCATAAGTCTCTGTATACTGGCCATGAAGACGATGTTATGATGGAATATTTTCTGATTTATTCTAAAGCTCAAGAGTCCATTTTGTACAACATAGGACCTTAAAAGTGGAACTAAAAATGAACTTGTTTATATGGTGTTTTAAGAGTATTATCTACTCTTCTTATTCATTTTTTGGCAATTTTTGTGAAAATGAGGGACATTTTTAAGTCAGTGTGTTGTCTCCAGTGGCCACTGCAGTTTCAAGTACTAAGTGACATCCCACATAATCATCTGTTTCTGATTACAAACAGATGGCTGCAGGGGCAGGGTTTGTAGCCTGGATACCTGGAGTTCATAGTGTAGACGCCTGGAGTTTGTAGTGTGGATACCTATAGTTTGTAGTGTAGACACCTGGAGTTTATAGTGCGGCTACATGGAGTTTGTAGAGTGAAAACCTGGTGTTTGTAGTGAGGTGTGGATACCTGGAGTTTGTAGCCTGGATACCCAGAGTTTGTAGAGTGAAAACCTGGAATTTGTAGTATGGATACCTGGAGGTGGTTCTGGAATTTGTAGTGTGAATACCTTGAGTTTGTAGCGTAGATACTTGGAGTTCATCCTGGAGTTTATAGCGTGAATACCTGGAGTTTGTGGTGCAGATACCTGGAGTTTGTAGAGTGGATACTTGGTGTTTGGAGTTTGGAGTTCATTATGGAGTTCGTTGTGGAGTTTTTAGCGTGGATACCTAAGAGTTTGTAGCGTGGATACTTGGAGTTTGTTGCGTGGATACCTGGATTTTGTTGTGTGGATACCTGGATTTTGTTGTGTGGATACCTCTTAGACCAATCCCACTGTTCTTTCTCCTCTTCTCTCTCAAAATTGTACTGTGGCTATGATTAGATTTTTATATTTCATGCTCACAGACCTCCTCTTCTCCACCCATCCTTTCTCCTTCTCCTCTCCACTCTTTTCTTCTCCTCTCTCCACCCCTCCGTCTCTGTGCTCCTCTACTTTCTGGATGACGGTAATTAAACCCTCAGCGCTGATTGGAGCTTGGCACAAAGTTGAAGAAAGGAGAGTTTTTTCTAATCAAAAACTGTCATGAGCTGAGTTCCGGGATAATCTTGAGACGCAACTAAACGGACAAATGGACACTGATTAGAAGACGACGTTGTGGAGCTGTTAGCGATGCTCGTATTAAAGTTGATTTAGTGAGGCTTGATTAAAAAAAAAAAAAAAAGATAATAATAAATAAATCACTGTCAAATTATTGTGACTGACTGCATTTATGTGCCAGTTTATTGAGCTACACTGACATATAAGAATTGAAAATAATGCATCAATACCAATGTTGGCTTTTTTTTTTTCAGTTTTTATTATTATTATTATTATTATTATTATATTATTATTATTATTATTATAATAATAATAATAATAATAATAATAATAATAATAATAATAATAATAATAATAATAATAATAATAATAATAATATTTATTTTTTTTTTTTTTTTTTCATAGTTTGGGATGTTTGAAGACTAACACTACCTCTCCCACTGAAAATGCATTGAAACTAAAGTTCCTTCTAGACACTAGAAGGGCCAATATCTTAGGTTATTGCGAGATTTTGCTTATATTGTTGTTGTGTTTTTTTTTTTTTTTTTTTTTTTTTCTGTTTTCTTCTGGTTTCAATCTCCTCTTCTGGGTTTGTGAAGTGAAGTGCCCGACCGTAGTGACCAGGGACCCTCGCCGTGATGCAGGAATGTGCGAGGGCTGGTCATACTTATTGCTTATTTTTACATTCACACCGAAAATGTGATCCTTATCTGATATCAGATTATTAAAATGTCACAGAAACGGTTCCATTTGATGTGAGTAATCTGATTTCTTTTTGACTGTCCACACCTGTGCAGGTTTTGACAATGAAATTCATGCAAAAAACGTACAAACTAATTGAGCAAAAATATATAGAAATTGTTATTTTAAAGTGGATTATACTTTGTTTTCGAAATACAACAGTTCCTCCAAAAATGCAGTTTTTGATGCTCAGATTTCTTTGGAGCTTGCAACATTGGTTACATTTACATGGCCAGTAAAACTCAGATAACTGGAAAAATCAGATAAACCAATAATTAGATCTGATTTTTTTTTTTTTTTTTTTTTACAACACAAGAGAAATTTGATCAACAAAATCATCTGGTAACATGGGTCAGTGAATAAAAATCTTTTAAAAGTAACTGTTGTATTTGGAGGACAAAAGTGCAATGGATAAAAAAATAACTTATCATTCTTTTTATTCTTTTTTAATTCAGTCTCCAACCTTTTTTTTTTTTTTTTTTTTTTCCTGATGAGCTCCTTTACACATCGAAAATCGCAAGAGAGCTACTCATTTTAGCAGTCACAAGAAATTGAGAAAGTATAAGACAGGGCACAGTTAGATGCTCATAAAATATAAACCATTATCCGTTTATTAGTGCATCAAAATGATACATGCACAATGGTAAATAATCATATTTTAGTGATTAAGCACAATAGGTGTGATTCAGAAATCCCTTGGCGAGCGACTTGGAAGAAGGTGGAGAGATACTGGTAACTCCAGAGCTACAGGTTGGAGACCCCTGCACATTAGTTTGCCTTTTTTCCCCCAAAATTTTCTCGTTAGTGTTGTCACAATATTGAAAATTCAAACTCAATTTTGATACTGAGACTTGATACTCAAAACTTCTTCCAAAACCACAATGATAATAAAAAATAGACAAGAATAGACTGTCATTTTCAGCATTAAATACTCAAGTACTTTCTTCTTATATTACCATGTGGCCTTATATCTGTGTAGGTTCCACAGTGGTCCATGGGTGTATACTAGTCTATGTGCTCTTATACTTGTTCTGATCTTTTCAAAACTATTCAGGAAATTCTCTCATGTGAATGTGACTTTTTTTTTTTTGCATTGATACTTGCTCCAATGAGTATCCTAGTATATTAGTTATAGTATCAATTAGTATCTGATTTTCAATACTTTTGACAACCCTTGCCAGTTAACCAGACGCTTTGTAGAGTAACTGTTGTATCTGGAAGACTTAGGCTACGTTCAGACTGCAGAGCTTAATACTCAATTTGGATTATTTTGTGAAATACGATTTTTTTTGCGAGGTCGTTCACATTTCCAATCCAGTTTGAACTTTAAAAGCCCCAAAAGTGTCCCATATGAGCATTGGAGAACACGACGACGTCACACACAGCAAGGGTGCTCAGTGTTTATGGAAGTTGACTAAACGCTTCTTGGTAAAATGGGCAGGTTACATGTCCACATCCACTTCGTTTGTTTGAATCTTTATCCTCCTTGATTTGGCTCACAGGCTCTTTATTTTTCATTGACATTGGAGTCAGGACCGTCTGTAGCCGTGCTCGGATATTTCTTTGGCAATCATTTCCAAAAAACGCCCAGTTCCGATAAGACCCCTCCAATTTGTCCTGAATACAGCGATCCCCCCCCAAATATTATAAACTCGCTAACCTCGCTTTCCCTCCATTGACGAGACTCCGAGCCTGACGTGTAGGTGTGATGAATGTGACCTGACCGTTCAGACTGAAGTCACGTGTTAAAAGATTCGACATGTGTCGGTTTTAGGAGCACATATCCAAGTGGTCTGGGTCACATTTGAAAAAATTGCAACTGTGTCGTTCAGACTGTCATTTAAAGATCAGATACACGTCGCAAAGGGGCAAAAAAAATCAGATTTGGGTCACTTCAGGCTGCAGTCTGAACGTAGTCTATGTCTCGCGATACTTGCGTGAAGTCTTGCGATGGTTGTGAACTTAGCTGTGGATGAAAATATAAGGTAGAGACGGGCCAGGGACAGAAAAATGCCAGGGTTATGAGTCTCTTGCTATTTTTCCTACTTATTTTGATTTTAATATTAACATTTTTACTCTTTGTTATTATATTATATTGTGATGTGCGAATAGTAGAATAGACAAAGTATAATTTTCAAACTTTTTCAACTTTCAAACTTCAAAATATGCACAGGTGTGAACACTCCAGAAGAAATCTGATTACTCACTCATCAGATGGAACTGTTTACATGACATTTCAATATTCTGATTACTCCAGAAATCAGATAACAATCAGATATTTGGTTGCGGATGTAAACCTAGCAACTCACCAACATTCTGATCTAATTCTTGGTTTATCTGATTATTCCGGTTATCCGATTTTTTCTTGGCTATGTAAATGTTCTCACTGATCTTTTGTTAATTCTGCACGACAGCGTTGCCTTGTTCCTCTTGTGTTTCCCTGCATGATGCCTTCTGAATGGGGATTGCTGACCTCTCTCCTTCTCCTTTTCTCCCTCTCTCCTGCTTTTCCCGACCCCCAGGAGATGGCCAGTATCCAGGTAAGAGCCTAGTCTTTAATCGTCTTTACTAACCATACTAAAACACGCATTTTGTTGTCTTTTGTGTTAGAATTTCATGTTCATTTTAGTTTCCCATAGAAATATAATCATGTAGTGGCTTGAGTAGCTGCATTTTTTGTGTAATAATGTAAAACGTGCATTTCCCCAATACGGACATATCGTAAAAGCAGCTTTTAGGTTCAAATTGAGACTTCTCTGTATTGTCTGCACCTCATTATAACTCATTTTTTATTGTCTGTGAACCCAGAAGTAGTGCTAGACATTGTTACCATTACCGTGAAGGCAAAACTGGTGTCTGAAAGTTGTGAAAAGCGCTCATAAACTCATCGTGTTGAATAATTAGGATGCTCTGAATGCTTAAGGTAAGTGAGGAAGAACTTTGGACCACTGCAAACAGTTTAAAATAAATTAACTAGATCTGTTTCCATGTTTTAAAGACAGTAAAAGTACTTTAAGTCTTTAAAAACTAACTATATTTATTGTGAAATTGCAGAAGGCTTTGATATTTGAGGAGTTATTTTCCGATATTCTCTTTTAGGCTACGTTCAGACTGCAGCCTGAAGTGACCCAAATCTGACTTTTTTGGTGCTTTGTGACCTGTATCTGATCTTTAATGACACAGATCTGATTTTTTTCAAAAGCGACCGAGGCCACTTGGATATGTGCTCCTAAAACCGATAAATATCCGATCTTTTGACATGCAACTTCAGTCTGAACGGTCAGGTCACATTCATCCCACCTACACGTCAGGCTCGGAGTCTCGTCAATGGAGGGAAAGCGAGGTTAGAGAGTTTATTAATATTTGGGGGGATCTCTGTATTCAGACCAAATTGGGGGGGTCTTATCGGAACGAAAGAAATGTCTGAGTGCGGCTACAGATGGTCCTGGCTCCAATGTCAACAAAAAATAAAGAGCCTGCGAGCCAAATGCAAGGAGGCTAAAGACTCAAACAAACAAAGTGGCCGTGGCCGTGTAACCTGTCCACTTTACAAAGAACTGTATTTTGGGAGACAAACCCAGTGTTTTAGCCAGGCTGATACCATCAAGTGCCTCCGCTCAATTTTATTTCTCTCCAGTGACTAGGTCAGGAATCGGAATACAGTAGATGGTTTGCAAGAAACCGGGAGTTGTAGACCGCGCACCAGCCAATCAGCGAAGAGCTGTGACGCCATGACGTCAAACTCAAGCGCCTGTCTGTGTCCCTTTTGTACAGCACAACAGTAAACAAAGCGTCGAGATTGATGTAGTCGAAGACGGACATTCTGTGTTGGCAACGATTCCCGAGATCGAAGATTTAAAACCGGAACAAATAGAATGTTTGGAGAATTTTATCAAGGGGAAAGACGTTATTGTCCTTCTTCCTACAGGATTTGGAGCATTACATACGTCATGACCAAATAGCAGCGATTGGTTAAATAAAAAAAGTATCCACCTACGGTCGAGCAAACGAATCCTAATGCTGCGAGGTCAGACAGTTTCTACGAAGTGAAACCGTCTGATGAATCAGGCTACCAGCGTTTAGGCTGCGTGCGATGTTGTTGTATCCGCTGATGCAGATGTGGGACACTTTTGAGGCTTTTAAAGTTCACACTGGAGATCAAATACAAGTCACATTTAATTGGTAATGTGAACGACGTCGCAAAACATCAGATCTCAGAAAAAAATCCGAACTGAGCATTAAGCCCTGCAGTCTGAATGTTGCGTTAGTTTGCAGTAGTCCAAAGTTATTTTCTCACCTTCCTTATGCATTCAGAGCATCATAATTATTCACAGCGATGAGTTTATAAGCACATTTCACTCTCAGAGACCAGAGCGTTGTGTCTTCATAGTAATTCTAACAGCAACTAGCATGCTAACAGTGCTTTTCTCTGACAAAAACACTTTATAATTAGATGCAAACAGTTCACAGCTTGACCCCAAGAGCTGCTTACACAATATTTGTACTGAGGTAATACACATTTTGCTAAAATATATGAAAAAAAATCGTGTACAGTCAAAACTATTATTAACCAAGCACTTAACATGTCGTCGTAAATGCAGTACTTGAGTATTTTTCCATCGTTTGTCATCATTATAAATCTTAGAATAGAACATAGAGCCTTGTCACATGGCCCCGTCTGCAGCGGTCTGTTTGTTTGATAGTGTGGGTTTACTTTGCCTGTCAATGCCCTCCAGTCAAACACCAGCCTCTTATCCATGTGTGCACAGAGCCACACGTGCACGCCCCTGCCCACGTCTATGCCCATGTCAACATCACACGCACGACTATGTCCACGTGCGCACCCATGTCAACAGCGTGTGCACACTTTTTTTCTTTTGAGGTTAAACTTTGAGGCTAAATTTACTTTTTTGAGCTTTCTGCAGTGTTCTAGTGTTGTTCCATCATCGAAAACATGTCTGAAGTGGTTTTCAGGATCAATTGTGAATCAAGCATTTTCAAAATAATAAGAGGTAACATGCTGATCTAAATATGTTACATCTTAGCAGTTAATACCACATAGAAATGTGATACCTCCTCCTTATAGACCTTTTTCCCAATGGGTGGAAGTGCCCCGCTGTAGATTTACGTAATTTCTGGTTCATGGTTTTCTGTGGCAAAATGTCTGTGGAAAAGTCATCACCAAATCTTCAACCAAATCTTCAACCAACAAGGTCCACAAAGGATAAACATGAAGAAAGATGAAAGGTAAGAAAGACAAAAAGCTTAAAGGCGAATGACAGTGAGCATTAGAGAACTACTGAGCAAAACTAAACTTATGATATCCTAGAGATGTCTCGCATTGGAACTACACAAATCTATGTTAATATCTACATCATGAAACTGATTTTTAATTTTAATTGTAGAATCAGTCTGAGTGAACAAGTTACTTAAGTTTTATTCATGACCATAACTTGTAAAATCCCTCAGTTGTCCAGGTAGAATCCTACGGCAAAGGAGAAATTTAATTTGTCAGTTGGACAAAAGTTTATTTGGTCAAATAAGTTTCACAGTTCATCCAAGCTGCTTCTTCAGTTCTGGTCAGAATGAGACTTCCTTATATCTGTCTGCAGAATCAGAACAAACAAGAGAATAATAGCTGTAGCCAGGTCAGGTCCAGAGGTGCAAAGCACCCATTATGGCCCTGAATGGTTATGCTAATATGACCCCACACTCAGTATTCAGTAGACCTAACTAATAGAAACTGTAAACAAGTAGGTGTGGTAGTTTCATTGTAGTTAGCTCCTCCCTGCAGACAGATATAAGGACCAGAACTGAAGAAGAACTGCAAAAAGTATTCGACCAAATAAACTTTGTCCAGTTGACAAATTTAATTTCTCCTATGTCATGACCATAGTGTTAGTTTTGCTCAGTAGTTCTCTAATGCTTGTCGTTCGTTCTCCTTTAAGCTTTCGTCTTTCTTTCCTTGATAGTTGTGGATAAATTCTTCATGGTAGAATGTTTATCCTTTGTGGACCTTGTTGGTTGAAGATTTAGTAATGGGGCAGATTTATGAAGCTGGTGGAGAATGTGTGAGACATTTTCACAGACATTTTGCAACAGAAAGCATTTACTGGAAGTTCCACAAACCTAAAGTGCGGCATTTCTGGCCGTTGTGAAAAAGGTCTATTAAGAGTTAAGTTGATTTCACACATAATTCCTGTCATTACTTTCCTTTTTGGGGCATTGTGGCTCCAATAATTCCACACACACACTTCAATTTCAAATAAAATCTATAAAAGACAGATACATACATAGCTAGATAGAGAGCCTTTTGGATTTGTCAACATTATTTCAGAAACTCTGTCACAACTCTCACACACTGCGGACCATTTAAAAAAATAAAAATCTTTACTACAGAGGACAGAGAGGATAACAAGTCAGCACACAGAGCTAATATTGCTTTATGATGGGTCAATATTATGTTTACGATGCCAAGATGAAGTGCATAAAGGATTAATAAAATGTTTATGTGATCACAGCCATAAAACAATACTGAACGTAATTACACTTTACAGTTGTTCTTAGTTCTTATAGCCCGTTGAGAAAAAACAAAACTCTAGCTTTTGGATGGAACGTCAGTGTTATAAAATAAAGCTTTAGTATTTCTGTATTTCCCACAGTAAAATGAACATACATTTTGTCAAACCAAGGCCAAAGTTTACGACACCAGGAGGAAGACCATAAATGATTAATAAAGTGATTATAATGAGATCACAGCGATAAAACAATACTGAATGTAATTAGATTTTACAGTCGTGCTCTGTCCATGCTGAGGGAAATAAAACACTATTACGATATAAGACTTTTAACACGTGCCAGCTGTGAAGAACAAGGCCTCCTCTGTAAAAAAAGAAAAAAAGAAAACACTCTGAGCCAATTTGTGGGAGAGAAGTCCAAGGCTGTTTTTTGGTCGCAGTCCACCCCCAACCAGAACTACACACTTTGCCAAAACTTAACAAGGACAAGTGGCTTTGGGCCCATATCCTGTTTCCCCCATTCCACAGGGCGTGATTGACAGGTGGATTAACCAATCAGAGAGACGCATGGACAGTTCTGGTAAAAAACGAAGACTTAAAAACAGCACAGACACCAAAAACTAAACCTGTGTGCTTAGTTTTTAGTATTTTCCTTAAGGGGACAGTTCGGAATTTTGAACATAGGACCTCATTTCCTAGTGAGTCAGAGTGTTGGAGATGTGTGGAGACACTTTTCTTAAATATTCCATCCAGTCCTTGTATTTGCAGAGGTCACTGGTGCTAGGCTAGTGCATGTCAATGGCCATGTTTAGGGCCTGTTTACACGAGAACGCTTGCAGGTAAAAACAACTAAATATTTGATCGGAAGTGCCTTTCGTGTAGACGGCGTTTTTGGGGCTAACCCTCCAGAGTGGAAAAGTTGAATACGCTCCGCCCAGAGGTGGGGACTTGCAAGTCGTGACTTGGACTCGAGTCAGACTTGAGTCACTATTTTTAGGACTTGAGGCTTGACTTGATAAAATGGACTAAGAGTTGGGACTCGACTTGAAGGTCAACGACTTGGGACTTGAGGCCTGTGACTTGAGAAGACTTGAGAAGACTTGAGAAGCACTTTTAAATCTGATTCACACTAAGATCTTGTCAAGACATTTGAAAAGGAAAAAAAAAAAAAAAATTAATTAATTAATTTCTACAACTCTTATTCTCTTACTCTTACAAATATACTATGATTATTTTAAGTGCAATTTGTCTTCAAAGTCAAAAAAATTGCAAAAATCAAAGCTATGTTTGGTATTTTCGTTTACAGTCTTAAAATGACTTGAAGCTCAAAGCAGATGACTTGGACTTGACTTGGACTTATGGACCAGTGACTCGAGACTCGACTTGGACTTGCCTGTATTTGACTTGGGACTTGACTCAGACTTGAGGTCACAGACTTGAGACTCGCAAAACAACAATTTGACCCCACCTCTGCATTCTGCCATAGCGTTTCTGTCTACACTGCCCAAGACGCAAAACTCTGGTCAGATCTGCTCAGGTCGCGTACACGTACAGTACAGAAACAAACATGTCGGATCATTTCCATGCGTCGGACCTTCAGCTCTAATAAACTTACAGGAGGCTCCCAACAAATGTAGAGAATCTGCAGAGATACTATTAGTGAACAGAGAAGGATCTGCAATCACCTCAAATTCTAGATGCATCAGTTCGTTGTAGGTGATTCAGACGGATATGGATGAGACCTGGAGAACCAGTCGATGGTGGAACAACTTTGTGGAAGAAGTAGCTGATGAAAATGTGTGATGTGAAAACTTCTGTATGTCCAAAGACGCCCTTGTTGCTTTAAGAACATGCATACTCAGTCAAGTTCCACACACTTTTGCGTCACCGTATGCATGCAGATTTCCTCTCGAAAAAGCTTGTCTATAAACAGAATAAAAAGTGAAAACACAACACCACTTTTTCGTCTTTTGTTCAGACCGTCATCATATAAACATAGCCTTATCCTGCCACTAAAAACAGTCTTACCCACTCCACAAAGCACTCGAAGCAAATGATTATTACACCAAACTGTCGATGTAAATGTCTGTGTCGATAGAATCATTTTCAATCAATCAATCAACAACTTTATTAATCCCAAATGGCAATTCACTTCACACATCTCTGGTCGTGCACAATCTATAAATAATAAAAGAAAAAGAAAAAACAGACGCCGTACATTCAAACCTCAGTGCATCAGGGACACAAAAGCAAATTCACTTTCCATTTAAAATCCTTATGGCAGAAGGAATAAAAGATTTGGCTTAGCGGTTGGTCTTTTGCTGTGGGGTGACATAGCGCCTCCCAGAGGGCATTTGCACGAACTGTGAGCGCAGAACATGGTTAGGTTGGCTCAGTATGGCCTTAGTCTTTTGGAGCACCCGATGTCTCCACACAGAGGCCAAATCCTCCATCTGAACACCGCTGATTTTGCCGCACACTTTTACTGTGTGGTTCAGACTGTTCTTGTCCTTCACTGATAACCCATAAAACCAACAAATTAAAGAAAAGGTCAGCAAACTTTCGATAAAAGATTGATAAAGATTATTTTAAATGTTAGGCGACACATTAAAAGACCTGAGCTTCCGCAAGTGAACCCGCTGCTGTCCTCGTTTGATCATTTGCTCAGTGTTCTTATCAAACCTTAGAGAGGAATCAAACACAGTTCCCAAATATCGTATTTTCCGGGCTATTAGACGCTCTTTTAAGCCTCTAGCCCCATCAAAAAACGACCACGCGCCCCGCAATCCAGAGCGCCCTATACACGAATCCACTCGGGTGTCCCAAACACACACGGAGCAGACAGCGACCGCACAGCGAAAGACACCCACAGACACACTCATCACTCCACGCCGACGAGGAACGGAACGGAGGAACGAACCGAAAAAGCGAGCGCAACGTGCCACTTCTAGACACAACTGAACAACTGAGTCACTGCGAACACGCCGACAATCCAGCGATCCCAGACACACCCTCCCTACACGCCACAACTGAACAAAGCCCAGAGTCACCGTGAACCCACAAACAAACAAAACCACTGACCCATCCAAGTGTTGGGTTTCATTTAAAGTCCGGTGCAGTTTATTTGTAAAAAAAAAAAGTTCAAAAATAGACCATTTAATGACAGTGGGTCTTATAATCCAGAGCGCCTAATAGCCCGGAAAATACGGTAGTTTTAGGAGTTATTTATAATTTATATAGCATTTCTACAACTTCCCCATGGATGGAGCTGGCTATTGGGCTGTGAACTTTTTTCCAGAAGTCCACAACAGTTTCTTTGGTTTGAGCTACATTTAGGTCCAGGTGGTTGTTATCACTCCATAATTTTAGAAGTAAAACCAATCTCACATTTGAAGGATTTATGTCTGAGCAGCAGCAGTTGTACTTCCTGATAGAAAGCTTCTTCTATCTTACCGCCAAAGTAAAATTCCACTGTTGCTGAGAAAATACTCCCTCAACATGCGACAATTCATTCAAGTTTAGTTTTATTTGAACCATTATTTTATCAACACAGACATTCACACTGACAGTTTGGCGTAAAAATAGATTTACTTTGTCTCCAACACTCTGACTAACTAGAAAACGAGGTCCTATGTCCAAAATTCTGGACTGTCCCTTTAAATACGCACTATGTAACTTTCAAATATGGTCCAAGATGTTATTGATTTGGTTGAAATGTTCGTCACTGTGGCATTAAATGTAACCATGTTGAATTAAAAGACTCACCGGGTTATTTATTGCTGAAAAAGATGCCTTGAAACACACGCATTCACAGATTTGACCTGTAATTTGGCCTCGTAGCATCGTTTTCTTGCGTGTTTTCATGGAGATAAATATGTTTAATGTCATATTGTGTAACATTCCAAGCACAGCAATAGCATCTCCATGGAAACAAGCAGGTGAAAAGATGCATAGCGCACCTCTAAAGACTCCAGTTCCTCTCAAATTCAGCATATTGTCCGTTGCTTACCTCACATTTTCTTCCTTGGAGATAGTGACTCTTTTTGACCTCTTGTTCTGGGCATTTCGGTGTGGAACATGCTAAAAGGACTTTGCAGAACTTTTTTCTCCGCTCTGGGCATAGCTTCAGACCACTTAAAGTTTTTTCCGTGGGTGTAGAGTGCACATACAAACTCCACTCCAAAATGTGTTTCATTTTATTGGCAAAGTTAAAACCAGGTTGGCTTAGAGAGACGCTCTGTCGAAACGTAGTGAGTAAAAATCCTCAAGAGTGTAAATTGTAAAGTAGTAAGATCATAGTCAAATCAAAAATCGCAGTTTGAATGGGCGTAATTAGCAAATCACAAAGACTGAAGTTTTTGAAGTGCCATTATTTTCTTCACAGGTAACTAAATACCCCATCTTATTCTGCATAAAACATCTAATTCTGTAGTTTAGGTCTGTACAAACATGTTCTGAAATGTCAGTTTTTATCCATTTTAACATGTGGACTTCAAACAGAATCCTCACAATTCTAATGAGAATTGCAATGTCTCTCAGATAAATTGCCATGACATTTTTTTCTCAAATCGTTCAGCCGTACTGTAACATGTTCTGAAATGTGATTCTTTTATTAGTTTATCAGTTCATAGTTCAGCGTTTTTGTCAGTTCTCCTGGACATGCTGTATTTCATGAGAGCTTTGAGCAGAATCCTAATATTGCATCAGTTTTATGTTGCGCTTTTCTGGACACTCAAGGCCTGTTTACAAGAGAACGCTTACGATTAAAAACAACAAAATATATAAAAAAAAAAAAAGGTTTCAAAAGGAGCGCTTCCTGGTCCTCCAGAGGATAATACACAGTAGATAGAACTCAGTGGTGTTCTTTGGGAAAGGAAAGTCAGTTTAAAGATGCAAAAAATGTTTTGTCCCCTGAGCAAAGCCGTAGAGTGAAACGCGTCGGGACTTTGTAGGTTGTTCATTTAGACATGCCGTAAATTAATAAAGGCATTTTATTTTAACCAGTGAGTGCCTTGGGTTTTTTGCATCGTTTAATCGACAAAATATTTTACGGGAAGTGCCTTTTCGTTTAGATGGTGGGGCTTAAAATCGCAAAAATCTGAAACCACCCTCCAGAGTGTAAAAGCTGAATACACTTCGCCGTAGCGTTTCCGTCTACACTGCCCAAGACGCAAAACTCTGGTCAGATCTGCTCAGGTCGCGTACGAGTTTATGTCACATACATCACCACCTAACGTCGAATTCCACACACTTTTGCATCATCGTATGCACGCAGATTTCCTCCCGAAAACACTCATCTAAACGTGGAATAAAAAGTGAAGACGTGACGCCACTTTTGCTTCTTCTGTTCAGACCATCATCATATAAACGTCGTTTCAAAGACGCTTCACAGAGCAGCAGAATCTTGTTATTAAAGCTGGTGTGTGTTTGTTCTGTGTGCAGTGGTGAGCCAGAACCTGGTGACAGACAATGTGTCGGTGGTGGAGGGGGAGACGGCCATGATCAGCTGCAGAGTCAAGAACAACGACGACTCTGTGATCCAACTGCTCAACCCCAACAGACAGACCATCTACTTCAGGGACGTGCGGCGTGAGTATCCCAGAACCAAATCCTATCACAGGCTCATATGGCACAGACCTCGGAGAGTCCAGTAAGTCTGTTTTTAGTGGGGAGACTGGAGCAGAGGCGGAGCTACAATTAGGCAACAGTAGGTGGCTGCCCCAAACCTGGAGAGGCCCCAACCAATTTCCTTCAGTGCCACTAATACCCGAGGACTCAGAGCAATTAGATTTTCTCTCAATATGACATTAAATGAGAGTAGTTTTACTTTGAAACAAGAAAACACCAGCAAAATAGTATCTGATTGTCAAATCTATTTTAACTGTCAAAGCATTCCCTCTTTTCACGTTAGAATGGACTCGTCCGCTTGACCCTGATTTGAAATTATATATCATCAATCGTAGCATAATCATATGTAATGGATGTAAACAAAATGTAATTGTACTAGCAAAAAAAAAATAAAACTACTTTCAGCTCTGGTTATCTAGTAGGATTCCTAATAAGAAAATTTTCCAAAATAAAGTTTTGTTAGTTTTCAAATAAAGATGTGCATGTCTCATGAACAATGGGAAAAAACAAAACAAAAAAAACAAAAAAAAAAACAGACAATGAATATTTTTTTTTAAATACAGAAAACAACAACAACAAAACAAGTGCATTATAATCAGGGCCTCAAACCAAGAACCTGTCCACACGACATCGTTTTTTGGTCAAAACGGTGAAGTCTGTATTTGTTTTGGCTTTTCATTCACACGGAGCCGGCCTTCTGAGTGGGTGAAACGGTTTCCAGAGGGGAGAAATCTGAGAACGCAGGCGTTGCGTTGTCGTGTGGTCAAGCAATAAAGTTCGCCTAAGGTCCCGAAATTGCTAACTCCGCCACTGGACTGGAGTGAGAAAGGCTCCTTGAAATGCTGTTTGAGCAACCAACAAGTGACACCTGCAGAAGCTCCACAGAAGCACTTCAGCCTCACAGCTAGAATCAATCAAACTTTATTTATAAAGCACTTTTCATACAAAAATGTAACACAAAGTGCTTTACACAGATTAAAAACAATCCCACATTTCCACCCACCCACCAACCCAACCCCCACAGCTGCCCGACTCGACACAACCAAACATCACAGACACCCAAACAGCCCCCACACACACACACACACACACACATTAACCTGCTAAAATACATAAAACGACACATAGTAAAATGTGAATAGATAGAAGGCCCTGGGTTCTACTCCCTGGCAGTGTGGTGTGGAGTGTTTGCATGTTCTCCTCACACCAGTGTAGGTTTGTTCTGGGAGTTCCTGTGTCCTCTAACACTGAAAATATAATCGGCTCCCCTCTAGGGCCAGGACTGAAAATGAGTTTCCAAATCTCACTGGGATTTTCCTGGTTAAATAAGGAAAGCATTAAAAACTCAAAACTCATGGAGAGCTGTGGCTTCACTAGTTTAAGTTCCTGTTCATATCTCTAACAGAACAATGCTCCATAAATAAAACCGTTCTCAACTTCCTGAACCCAGTGACAGACTATAGCTTCTTGTTCCATAGCGTTCAGAGACTCTAATTTCCTCATGCAGCACAATAGGCAATCAGGCGAGACAATCAGGCCAGCTCTGGAGATGGGTCTATGGGCCCTGCGCTGCAATATTATAACTGTACTCTATATAATATAAGATAATACAGTGAACATTAACTTTTGAATCTCTCCTTGTGATTGCTCTGGAGACGAGACGAGACACAAGCTGGGGTCAACTACAACGAGATGACATGAACTTTTAAAATAATTGACAATAATCAGATTTAGTAACTAGGGATGGGCATGATTAGTCGACTAATCGATAATGGATCATTAAGAATTCCATTGATTATGTTAGTTTTTAATCGACAAACTGAATGTAGGTCGCTGTGCGTAGAGACGAGGCAGCGTCGGACACAAACACTGGAGTTGTGCCTCACGGTCCAACGTTTGGGCTCTGGCTCCTTGGAGACACTGTAGCACTCAGTGAGTGTGTTTACAGCACATCAGTGTCCCGGTTTTGTTATGGTGTAAGTACACGCAGTATCCCGGTTACTGCAACATAAAGAGCTGCGCTAAACCTGCACACGTACGATCTTTGAAAACATGAACCATCTCCAAAGCGACACACACACAGAACATGCTCACTATCATCATCATCATCATCATCATCATCATCAACATCCCTCTGTCACAGAAAGAACACCAATATTCCATTGAGTTGTGTTCTTTATATATTAATATCAGCACTGCGTTTTTTCTGCTTAGTTTATGCAAATTAGCCATGCAATTTTAAGTTTTGTTTCTGTAAGCTTTGCGCAAAGCTGCAATAAACACATTATAATGTCAAACGGGCTAATGTAGCTCTAGAGTGTTTATGGTTTATGTGTCGTAAAGTTGAGTTTATTTATGCAGATTAATAATAGTAATAATAATGATGATCATTTATTTATTTATTTATTTTGCACTTATAACATGACAATAAAAAGAAATGGTAACACTTTATATAAACTACACCTTATTTAGTCTTAATAAAGCATGAAGAAAGACTTAATTAATAATGATTCACGCTTAGTAACTACTTAATTACTACCTGAATTAGCACTTAACTTGCACTTAATTCACCTGTGCTGTAAATAGTTACTCATAAGTATTTCTTACTTAATTACTCATGAACTAACCATTTGTGTGTGCATTTGTAAATGTATATTTAAGTACAACATTTGAGCATTTATTAATGATTAATAAGCCATGAGAGAATGATTTACTAGTAATGCATTATTGTTTCTCTGGAATTTGACCAACAAACGCTTAATAAAGCATCATTAGTCTTCACTTTAGAAAAGCTCTCAGAAAGACTTAACTAACAGATAACAGCTGCCTGAATGATCACTGCATTGCATTATTACTAAATCATTCTCTCATAGCTTATTAATCATGAATAAATGCTCAAATGTGAACTTAAATATGCATTTGTAAACATGCAAATGGTTAGTTCATGAGTAATTAAGAAGTATTGAGTAACTATTTACAGCACAGGTGAATTAAGTGCAAGTTAAGTGCTAATTCAGGTAGTAATTAAGTAGTTACTAAGTGTGAATCATTATTAATTAGGTCTTTGTTCATGATTTATTAATCCTAAATAAGGTGTAGTTATTATAAAGTGTTACCAAAGAAATTTCAATATAAAAACATTAATGATTAATTCGAAAATCAATCGTTAATTCTCCCGATGATCGATTATGAAAATTTTATCGAATGCCCATCCTGTCATGTAGAAACGTTGTGAGGACCCAAAATGCAGCACTGCTATCAAGTATTTAATAACAAATTGATAAATTCAAAAAATCCAAAACTGGAAACTAAACTGCCATGACACGAGGCAAGATGAAACTGACAGATGACAGAGACAACGGACCAACACAGGGTATAAATGCACACAGACACACGTGAAACACATCAGGGCGGGGCAAACAATCAAGACAGGAAGTGAAACTCAAAACTACAAGCAGACACGACAAATGTCAAAATAAAACACCAAGATCAGCGAATACAACCACTACAAACATGAACCATGACACATCCCTACTCGTAACAAACATGACCAAATCAAGTCAATTTCATCATCTGCTTTTAATAACCTAAAGTCATTGTATGTTTAAAACACATCTGCCTATGTCTATTGCACTTTATTTTTATTATTTAAAATATCAGACAAAATCTCAACCTGCTCCTCTGTTCTCTGTGCCGATCCAGCCCCTCCCCCCTCAACCCCAGAGCTGTCTGCTTTTTATGTTCACGGTGCTGGGTGACACAAGCAGAGGAGGAGCACTTCTATCTCCTTCTTTCTCACTTTAAACTATGGATGAAGAGGCCTGAATATCTCTTTGTGAATTTAAACAATATTTAGGTTTGGTCTGCATGTTCTGTGCTATTCGCGGATGAATTAGACACATGTATATTTCATTATACTTTTCCGCAATCTTTCTGTACAAACTTTAGCACAGATTATTTTTGTCAGTATTGGTCCTGTCACTTCAAAATAAAAAGTGGAACAGTTTAAAGTGTTCTCTGTCTGAATATGCGAGCTAAACGTCTATGTGGAGGAGTCTTTTATCTCCACCTGCTCAAAGAAACGCAACTTTCCAGAGTTTGAGGGAGGCGTGTAACTCTTTCATGCCTGTGCCAGATGTAAAGACTGGGATAAAATCTTATGAGATAATTGTTAATTTGTGTCTTGAGACAATTTGATCCCATCCCGACTAACTGCGCTTTCTCCTGAGCAGCTCTGAAGGACGCCCGGTTCCAGCTGGTGAACTTCTCAGAGAATGAGCTGCGGGTTTCTCTGTCCAACGTGTCTCTGTCAGACGAGGGACGCTATGTGTGTCAGCTGTACACGGACCCGCCGCAGGAGGCCTACGCCGACCTCACAGTACTGGGTAAGCGCAGGACGTACACTCGTAACTCCAGACACAACAAGAGCCACTAGGAGTCATTCCAGTTGATGCAGATGTTTATGGCATTGCACGTTTTGTCTTATGTTATTTCTGGGGGAAAAAATACAGATTTCAGTCTCTGCTCTGTGGACAGTTCCCTCTCATAACCAATATATTTTCTGTCTTTTTTTGTCTGTGTCTGTCAGTCCCTCCCAGTAACCCGATCATCGAGACCCGGGACGAGGTGCTGAACGAAGGCAACGAGACGGAGCTGACATGTTCCGCCCTGAGCAGCAAACCCGCCGCCTCCATCAGGTGGAAGAAGGGCAACAAGGAGCTGCCAGGTCCGAGCGCACGCACATGGGCCGACACAAGGGGGGCACTCACGTTTCCCACTTGCAGTAGAAAGTTTAGACACACTCCTTGTTCTCATGCACACCAAAACCTGATTATTATTTAAATGACATGCAAACCACAAAATCTGAACAGAGGGACCATGATTGGGATGAAATAACCGTATTTTTTGGACTAAGTTGCTCTGGAGTATAAGTCGCTCCAGCCAAAAAATGTGTAATGAAGAAGAAGAAAAAAACATATGTAAGTCGCACTTTTTGAGGGAAATTTATTTTATAAAATCTGAGACCAGGAACCAAATTTTCATGTTGAAAGGCAAGTTAGTAATAACAATAGAAGAGAGAACAACAGACTGTTAACGTCACATATGAACAGTTCTTCAGATAAACTATAACATAAACAGAACAGAACAAGTTTAACAAACTCTCCATCTCACTCCAAATCACTAAATCCATTCAATTCTTCATCCTCGGTGTCACTTCTGAGCAACTCCACGACCTCCAGAGGTAAAAGGAGCGTCGCTTCCTCTTCTGTGTCACTGTCGTCAGACGCATCAGTTCCAGTTAGATTTATTCCGTCCTTTCTGAATCCCGACAGGATGGTTTCGGTGTTACTGAAGTCCAGACTTTGTCCATCCATCCAGTGACTTCCAGGAAAGTTGCATGTTGCATCCTCCCGGTTACCGTGAGGTTGTGTTCTCCTTCCCAGCTTTCCATCAGTCCCTCACAAGTTTCTCGCTCACTCCAAACTTTCTTTCTGTTACTCAGTTGCCGTTTTCAGCTGAATATTTTACGACTTGCAGCAGGACAGAGGCTCTTTCTGCTGGAGACATGCACAGTAGAGTGAAGTGACAGTGGTACAAGAGGAACAGGAGCAACAGATACTGACACACAAGTCTAGAGCCTCTCGCGGCTTCAGTGTGAACATTTTAATATATAAGTCACACCGGAGTTTAAGTCACAGGAAACACCCAAACCATGAAAAAAGTGTGACTTACGGTCCGAAAATACAGTTAACAATATACAAAAAAGCAACATATCTAATTTAAAGCAAAATGTGACTGAAGTCCAGCCGCACAGACGAGCAGGAAAATGGCACTTTCGACAGGTTCAGACAGGTGCAGACAGGTGCAGACAGGTTCGGACGAGGAGCCAATCAGGAGAGAGAGGAACACAACCCGCCAATCAGGAGGCAGGCCAAGCTCCATAACAAACACATATGGAGTGTGTGAAATAACTCAAGAAAACCTGTGTTCTGGCACGTTAGGAGTGCGCGGTACTTATGATACCATATTTTATTTTATTGATTCCACTTTGCTGTTTTACACTGCAGAGGAAAACGAAATGATGAAATGAACAGAGCAGAGGAAGGACCTTGGTTGACTCCATATATTAGCCTGAATATTGGTTCCAGTCTCGGTTTGGAAGACTTATTTTGACATATATAACCCAGAATGAGTAAGTGCGCCGCAGGTAGTTCTTGGCGTCTCTTAAATAACAGTTAAAGGTGACGGCTGTCGTATGGGCCAATGTAAATCCAGTCTGTGTGCACTTACAGCCACATTATCCCTCTATTAACTTCACGTTTTCATGGCGTTATTAGAGATATATGAACAAAATCCCAGAAAGTTGCTGAAAATGCTTTTTTTTTTTTCAAATTCACAATCTGTTTTCTAATATTTTACCCCAAATTGTTCAAAACTTCATGCTGGATGCAAAAACTATTCAGAACCTCATGTCTGAACCAGATAGAACAAAATAAATTTCAGTTTTAAAAGGAGCTGTACCAGATTTTTACAGTTTTAAAAGTGTGAAAAACAGAACTAGTTTATTTTAAATGGTTTGCCATGGTCCGAATTCCATCCAAATTCTGAAAAGTGCAATTTTTTCCTGGTAGAGCCGTTCAAAATGTCTGTGCATGTCCCTGATTGGCTGGCAAGGGATGAAATATAGGCTCAACCGCAGACTGTATTATATAAATGGGCATAGTTAACTCGTAAGCCGCTGCAATCCAAACAGAAAGTGACTATGGGCGTGTAGCTTTTCTTCTGAGCCCTTCTCTCCGTAACTGCTGCTGTCAGACTCATAGTTTTGGTCTGAAAATGTTTGTATTAACCTGCTCTATATATGATCCTACTGTTTTTATTTTCCTAATTTGCCCTAAAATCGAGATAAGAACATTGATAGCAGACCAATCCGGTGCTTTCTTTCTCTGAGGTTGTTCCTGATGGCGTTAGTAAGTTAGTCGTCTGCTTCCTGTCAAACCAAGCCCTCATCCACAGTCCTGCACGGGTCCATTTTTAGAGACTGTGATTCCCGTGATTATATCAAAGTTAAATCCGCGCCCGCCCGGACCCGTTAACATTCCACCCATGACCCGCCCGTGCCTGTGATAAATCAGAGTCAGCCCAGTAGTCCAGGACTAAACCAGGACTAAACCAGGACTGAACCAGGACTGCACCTACGCTGTGTCATTAGTGGATTATAAATATATACACACCGCAACCACAGAGTCAATCACCAGAACTACACCAGGACTGACCCAGGACTAAACCAGGACTGAACCAGGACGAAACCAGGACTGAACCAGGTCTAAATCAGGTCTAAACCCGGTCTAAACCAGGACTAAACAAGGACTTAACCAGGACTAAACAAGGACTGGACCAGGACTCCACCAGGACTGGACAAGGTCTAAATCAGGTCTAAACCAGGATTAAACAGGGACTTAACCAGGACTAAACAAGGACTGGACCAGGACTCCACCAGGACTGGACAAGGTCTAAACCAGGACTAAGGCAGGATTGGATCAGGACTACACCAGGTCTAAACCAGGACTGAACCAGGACTTAACCAGGACTGAACCAGGACTTAACCAAGACTGAACCAGGACTAAACCAGGACTTAACAAAGACTAAACCAGGTCTAAACTAGGACTGAACCAGAACTTAATCAGGACTACACCAAGACTGAACCAGGACTACACCAGTACTTAACCAGGACTTAACCAGGACTCAACAAGGTCTAAACCAGGACTATACCAGGACTAAACCAGGACTATACCAGGACTAAACCAGGTCTAAACCAGGACTGAACCAGGACTGAACCAGGACTGAACCAGGACTAAACCAGGACTAAACCAGGTCTAAACCAGGACTGAACCAGGACTATACCCAGACTTAACCAGGACTGGATCAGGTCTAAACCAGGTCTAAACTAGGACTTAACCAGGTCTAAACCAGGACTAAATCAGGACTAAAGCAGGACTGAACCATGACTTAACCAGGACTGGACCAGGACTAAACCAAGACTAAACCTGGACTTGCCGATTGCCTCCATTGATGATTTTATGAACTAAAAACACTAACGTCTCTTTCTCAACCTGGTCCATCGTTCCGGGAAAAGACCAGGAAATATCACTTGTTTCCAGGGCTACAGCAGGGTTCCCTAGACACGCGTCAAGTATTTTTCTCTCGTTCGCCGTTTCATTTGATTCACCTGACCCGCCCACGTGTAATCACTACCCACCCGTAAAACTCCAGAACGTTAAAACCCGCCTGTTTCAACGAGTATTTGGTCTCTGGACTCAGGACTCTGCCTCGATCATGATTGGCTCTTTGGTTTCAGATTTCCAAACATGGTCCCTGATTGCAGATTAGTCGTTATAACTCCTAGTCTCATTTGGTTTCATTTGGTTGCAGCTAAACGGGTGAGGTCAAACTCCCTTAGTCCGTTGCTTTTATCCCGTCCATGGACTCAGCTCACCCTGATCACCAACCGATCATTTATCAACTGTATTTGCAACAACTCCTCCGCAAAATGACTCATTCAATCTAATTTTTACAGCAGTTTTCAGTGTATTTCACGAGGTCATAGTTCAAAGTTAGAAGATTTAGTATTTTTTTAACACTTTGAAAGAGTGTAATCTTCCCGCAGCCTTCAATCGGTTCTCATTTTCTAAAAGTTGGTGAAGTTGTTGAAAGATTCTTTTAACAGTTTCCCTCTGTGGATTCAAGGCCCTTAAAATGAATCTCTTTCTTTTAATTCATTGAGGCTGAACTGAAAAACCCTCAGCTTTTTGAGCTTTTGAAAACCTTCAGCGCGTCAAGAAATTCAATATTTTAACTTTCCCGTTTGAACTGGATGTTAATGAGTATTGGAGTAGTCGACAGTTTATTTAAGGGGATATTACACTTGTATAGAGAATTATTTCCACATGATATATTGAGATTTTTACCTTTCATAGCTTTAAAATTGCTATATTTACGAAAAACAACTCCTCACACTAAGTCACCCCCCCTCCAGAGTGCTATGACCTAAGGAAACTACTACACATCGCATCAGGTTTGTGAAGTCGTAATGCATTGTATTGGATCCTGCTCTTGTTTAACCGTAAAGAGGGTTTGAATAGGGCCAAGGAAAGATCACTAAATTGCTCAAACAGGCATGGATGACATATAAAACCACTTTAGGCATGTTTCTGATGAGGGAACACTGTTCAAACACGGTCGACTTAGACAAACTTTGATCCACAAGGGAAATTATTTGGACACAGTAGCTCAAAAATCACAATATATCATAATAATAAAGAGTAAAAATGTTAATAATAAATTCAAAATAAGTAGCAAAACTATTAAGAGACTCGTAACCCAAGTATTTTTTCTGTCCGTGGCCCGTCTCTACCTTATATTTTCAAGTTCCCAACTATCGCGAGACTTCGAGCACGTATCACAAAGACATAGGTTACGTTCAGACTGCAGCCTGAAGTGACCCAAATCCGATTTTTTTGACCTGTATCCGATCTTTTAATGACAGTCTGAATGACACAGATCAGATTTTTTCAAATGTGACCCAGGCCACTTGGATATGTGCTCCTAAAACCGATACATATCTGATCTTTTGACATGCGACTTCAGTCCGAACAGCCAGGTCACATTCATCCCACCTACACGTCAGGCCCAGAGTCTCGTCAGTAGACCAAACTGGAGGGGTCTTATCGGAACCGAGCGGTTTTTGAAATGATTGCCAAAGAAATGTCCGAACATGGCTACAGGCGGTCCTGGCTCCAACGTCGATGAGAAATAAAGAGCCTGCGAGCCAAATACAAGGAGGCTCACCATCAGCAGAACACCCCTCTGTCACAGAAAGAACACTCATATTCCACTGAGTCGTGTCCTTTAGTCCGACAGAAGCTGAACCGCATCAGCGCACAATAACGAGCCTAGTTTATTCAAATTAGCCATGCGGTTTTAAGTTTAGTTTCTGTAAAAATGTAAACAAATATGCTCAAAGCTGTGAGGATAGGGAAACCTTGCGGACACAGAAACAATGTACTGACGACTGTAATGTGTGAACTCGTTGATCAATGACTCTGAACTCAATAATCCGAAAGTGCACAACTGTAAATATTGTAAATAATGTCTTTGTACTTTAAATAACACCACAACACAACTAAGCACTACAAGCCATGTGTGTTTGTCTCATTAAATACTCCATTTTCCTCCAAGTCGAACCATGGTCTTCTGATCTAGGCGACTACTACTACTACTACTTTCTGATCCATATTGCAGAATTGCACATGCTACAGACTGGTGTCAAATGAAATATAATTATATAAATGTGTATGTACAAGAAAAGCTCCAAAAAGGCTTTAGTGATAATATACAAAACCTGTTCTTATGTGTTATACTTGTGAGGTGATACTGTATATTTGTTATCATTATCATAATCTCTTTTTTTTCATATTTTGTTGTATATTTTCTCCATCAGGCAAACCCAAAGTGGAGCTGACGTACGACCGCATGTACACGGTGACGAGCCGACTCACGTTCACCGTCAGTAAAGAGGACGACGGCGTGCCCGTGGTCTGCATCGTGGACCATCCTGCGGTCAAAGACTTCCAGGCGCAGAGACATCTAGAAGTACAATGTAAGTCTAAGGTTTCGTTCAGTTTCCTCGTGGGGTTTAACAAAACGACTGATTTAAACAACAGAAGGTTAGTTTGTGAAACAGTCATTAGTCAATAACAGAATAAATCTACATTCACAGGAAACAAACAAATGGATAACTGTCCCAGAATATGCCCGGAAAATTAATTAATAAAAAATGAATGAATGAAAACACAAAAATACCAGGAATGAACATGACTAAACCAAGACCAAGACTAAAACAGGGCAAGCAGTAGTTGTGTCCAGGACTGACACACTTCCTTTTGCAGATAGAGTTCAAGTCACAAATTTACAAAGATCTGAGCCTCCCCGAGTTCAGATGGGCTTGATTGACAGGTGTATTAGCCAATGAGGTTCATGTGGTCTTCCGATATTTTATGTTATTACCTCCGCCAAGGAGGTTATGTTTTTGCCGGCGTTTGTCTGTTTGTCTGTTTGTTTGTTTGTCTGTTAGCAACATAACTCAAAAAGTTATGGACCGATTTTGATGAAATTTTCAGGATTTGTTGGAAATGTGAAAAGGAAGAACTGATTTCATTTTGGGGGTGATCCGGAAGAAATCCTGGATTCTGGATCACTTTGAAATTTTAGTTAACATTGTGGTAAATGGGGCCAAAAATTTTGTTTCTCAATATCTTGGTTAATTATTGACCAAACCCCATGAAATTTGACTCAGGGATGGACAATGGGATCCTCTTTCATATTCCAAAGGCTGATCCGGATCTGATCGAGAAGACTGATTTTATTGCAATTTATATAAAAAATGGGGGTAGTCCTTGGCGGAGGTCTGCGCTCTCTGAGTGCTTTTCTAGTTAGGTTATTTTTTTAATACCAAGAGTTTGCTTTCATACCTGACAGTTTCGACTGATCATTAGCGCTCTTCCTTAGAGTGGTTACGTGATGTTGCTGTGACGTGTCTGGTCGGCTGATTTAAAAAGGTTTTGATGCTGTCTTCCTACCGGTGTGGGCAGGACGACAGCGCCATCTGCAGTCCGACTTCTTCAGGACAGAATCCCAGGTGTGTGAGAGTAAAAAAGGAAAAAATAAAAATAAAAACATAAACAAAGGAAAACAACAGGTGAGAGAGAAAGAAAAACAGAACCAGAAAAACAAAAATAAAACGGGCATGGTAACATTATCGTACATCAGGGGCATAACAGAAAAAGCACAGAGGGCAATGAGAAAACATAATAACACACCAGTGAAACCGAACAGAAAACTAAGGCAATTACTCGTCCACCGAAAAGATAAAATAGATCCAGAGCATGAATGTAATGTCATGTACGAACAGTGTTGGGAAGGTTACTTTTAAAATGTAATCCCCTACAGATTACAGATTACATACACCAAAATGTAGTTTGTAACAGAATCCATTAAATTACTTAAACTGAGTAATGTAATCTGAATACTTTGGATTACTTGATTTGCTGTAGAGAAGCAAAGACGAGGATATCATAACATAAGATGTTTTGTCTGCTAAAAAAATAAAAATAAAAAAAGCCCAGACTTAACCATATTAAAAATATTACTGATAGAAGAGGAGGAGACACGGTCCATGCAGCATGGTTTTAGTCCAGTTAAATCCTGTTTTAGACCTGTTTTAGACCTGGTTTAGACCTGGTTTAGACCTAGTTTAGACCTGGTTTTTGTCCTGGTTAAGACCCGGTTTAGACCTGGTTTAGACTGGGTTTAGACCTGGTTTTAGTCCCGGTTTAGACCTGGTTTTAGACCTGGTTTTAGTCCTTATTTAGTCCTAGTTTAGTCCTGGTTTTGACCTGGTTCAGACCTAGTTTAGAACTAGTTTAGTCCTGGTTTTGACCTGGTTTTAGTCCTGGTTTAGACCTGGTTTAGACCTGGTTTAGTTCTGGTTTAGACCTGGTTTAGACCTGGTTTTAGCCCTGGTTTGAACCTGGTTTAGACCTGGTTTAGTGTCCGGCAATGAGTGGAATTACCGAAAAAAAAAAAAAAAAAAAAAAAAGGATATAGCCTGAAATGTGAAAACAGTAAAATCCCGCCGTGTAATCCATTTATTTCAACAAAGTAACTGTAATCCAATTACCACTCACTGAAACAGTAACTGTAACCGAATACAGTTATTCGTAATTTGTACTCTGATTACGTAACTCTGGTACATGTAATCTGTTACTCCCCAACACTGTGTACGAAATATCCTACACGTCCTGCAATAAAACATGCATTGGAGAAACAGGGAGGGCGTTCAGTACACGAAAAAAGGAACATAGGACAGAATGTGAGAAGGAAAGAGCAAAGGCGTGCACTCAAGCAACAAAACACAAAGCAGAACAGGAACAACTCAAATCGTCCATTTCTGACCACTGTAAAAGAGAGAACCACATTATGTACTGGGACAGAGGAAAACAAACACCGTCGCTGGACTCAAGAGGTAATCGAAATACAGAAACATGCCCACGGGACGATAAACTGGGACGAGGGGGCTTGTTTACTCCCACACACCTGGGATACTGTCCTGAGGATGTCGGACTGCAGATGGCGCTGTCGTCCTGCCTCTACCGGTAGGAAAACAGCACCAAAACCTGTTTAAATCCGCTGACCGAACACGTTAAAGCAACATCACATGACTGAGGAAGAGTGGTAGTGAGCACTCGAAATTCAGGTATGAAAACAAACTCTTAGTCTGAAAAAAGAACCTAATAACACAGGTGTATCAGCCAATCAGGGACATGCATCAACAAAGCACCGTATCAAAACAAACACGGCTGCTTACGAGGAAAAAAAGAAAGGTAAAAGAGACAAATGCATCGCCGCTATTAACCCGAGCAGTTTCTTTTGTTGCTCGTGCTGCTTTAAGGTCAGCCGGCTGCCGGGGAGATGGATGGTTCCTTCCTGAGTGCTTTTATGAGGCGAGGGGTGCAATAAAACAAATAATTGAGTTAACATAACGATAAGGGTTCTGTGTTCGGCTCGGCTCTGTTTCACGGCGCTGAGAGGCTCCGTTCAGTCATGAGCCGAGGACTGAGCACTTCCAGGAGATCATTACACCTCACACAAGTCAGAGCAGAGAAAGTACAATGGGCCAACAAATCTAGTGATGGAAAATAATGAAGACGAGTTATGCTTTTTCGGGGTAGTTAGTATTAAACTCTTAAAATGAGATATTGTTCTAAAACAGCTTCACAGTAGAAACAGGGATATTGACTGGTAAAAAATGATAAAACTGATCGGTCCCGACTCTCTAAAAGTACACTGCAGCAAGTAACGGAAATTTTCAATCTGGTCTGTCCGTATCCATACAAGGACAAAAAAAAAAAGGAAAACAAAATACCCCATGGGACCAGAAGTGTAGTGGGCATGGTACGTGGGGGTATGTCGTCCAACCACTTCTATATAAAATAGCTACAACTTAAATGTCAAACCAGAGCTATTGAACCAGGACTAAACCAACACTAAAACAGGTTCAGGACTAAACCAGGACTGAACCTGGACTGAACCAGGACTAAAGCAGAAGTAAACCAGGAGTAAGACACTCTGCTCCACAGCTCGGAGTTCTCTCTCTTGCTCTCATGTCTAAGATTTGTCTTAGTTTAGTCCTGGATCAGTCCTGGTTCAGTTCTGGCTCACTCCTGTTTTAGTCCTGTTTTAGTAGTCTGATTTAGTCCCTGGTTTAGTCCTGGTTTAGTCCTGGTTTAGTCCTGTTCCTGTTAGTCCTGGTTTAGTCCTGGTTCAGTCCTGGTTTAGTCCTGGTTCAGTCCTGGTTCAGTCCTGGTTTAGTCCTGGTTCAGTCCTGGCTCACTCCTGTTTTAGTTCTGTTTTAGTCCTATTTTAGTCCTGATTTTGTCCTGGATCAGTCCTGGTTTAGTCCTGGATCAGTTTAGTCCTGGTTTAGTCCTGGTTCAGTCCTGGTTCAGTCCTGTTTTAGTCTTGTTTTAGTCCTAGTTTAGTCCTGGTTCAGTCCTGGTTCAGTCCTGTTTTAGTCTTGTTTTAGTCCTAGTTTAGTCCTGGTTTGGTCCTGGTTTAGTCCTGGATCAGTCCTGGTTTGGTCCTGGTTGAGTCCTGGTTGAGTCCTGGTTCAGTCCTGTTTTAGTCCTATTTTAGTCCTGATTTAGTCCTGGTTCCATCTTAGTTCAATCCTGGTTCAGTCCTGGCTTAGTCCTAGTTCAGTTCTATTTTAGACCTGGTTCATATGTTGTAGTCTATGATTTATGTTCTGTAGGTGATTATGAACGGCGTTAATGTTAATAACATAATTCTGCATCATTTTGAGTAAAAAAAAAAAAAATAAAAAATACTGGACTGGCGCCTTTATGTTTGAGTGAGTGAGTTGAGTGGGTTAAAAAAATCCACTGCATGCGACTGAGAAACACTGCGTATCTCCACAGAATCAATGACCAAAGCACTAAAATCTGAAGTGATAGAAATGATTCAAAATGACGAGTGACCAGTGAGCTCCTTCGTTTCTCTGTGTCACTGAAATAAACAAATCTGATTGGTCAGACGTGTTTGGGCCTGGCTCAAGGCACATCAGACGGCGCGGGGACCAGACCGATGTCCTTCTGTATAAAAAAATACCAGAGATATCAGTCTGGACTTGCCCGGCGACAGAACTGATGGAAAAAGTTTGCCGGTGTCCGTGCTGCAGCTGTTTGTTCGCTGTCATTCCTGTTCTGTACTCGGCAAGAGCGCATTCAATCTTCATGCCAGGATGATTGAGTAAAACATTAGATTAGATTTCTGGCCTGTATAAAGGAACATCTCTCAGACCAAGACGCGAGTAGACTTTGATAACACCAGCCCAAGTCAACGGCATGGGAACAATAGCGTGTTTCTGAGACTGTCAGCGCTCCCTGCAGTCAAAACCCGTCAACAGAGCGTTTCATTTCTCTGTCCGACTTATTCTGCTTTCAAAACAACTCCTCTCGGGCCCTTCTATCTACTCAAATCTGCCCTTTCTGTCTGCTCATTTCCAAACAAAGAGTGAGATCTTGACACGTCTCCCAGAGCTGCTCATTGTTTTTGGTTGGTGTTCCTCAGGGGTCACTACTTGTCCCCGCTTTGTTCTTATTTGTATCGTGTCGGTTGTCGATTCTATGTAGTGACAAGAAAAGTAAAGCAAAACATAAATAACTTAAAGATGTTGTTTCTGATATTTACTTTTCAAAAACATGAAAATCAGAGCGAGTTCATTTTAAACTTTTTATTTTGCAGTGGTCTAAAGTTGTTTCTCACTTACACATATGTATTCAGAATAATAACAAAAATGTATTAACCCAATAGTATTCATTTAACACGTTTTAGTTCACAATTTGTTTATTAGACGTTATGTGATATGACGACAGGATTACGTACTCATGCCGCTATTTCATTGGCAACAATAGACAAACTTTGAAAAACTTTTCAAAAGGAGCTTACTCGGCTTCATCTTCAATTAAACTTGTCTTGGTCCTGACTTTCTAAAAGTAGAGGATTATAACAGGACTAAACCAGGACTAAAACAGGACTGAAACAGGACTAAAATAGGACTGAACCAGGACTAAACCAGGACTGAAACAGGACTAAACCAGGACTGAACCAGGACTAAAATAGGACTGAAACAGGGCTAAAATAGGACTGAACCAGGGCTAAAATAGGACTGAACTAGGACTAAACCAGAACTGAACCAGGTCTAAACAAGGACTGAACCAGGATTGAACAAGGACTAAAACAGGACTAAACTAGAACTGAACCAGGACTAAAACAGGACTAAACCAGGACTAAACAAGGACTAAAACAGGACTGAACCAGGACTAAAATAGGACTGAACCAGGGCTAAAATAGGACTGAACTAGGACTAAACCAGGACTGAACCAGGACTGAACCAGGACTAAAACAGGACTGAATATTTTCCAAACTCAAAGTATTAAATTTAACTCATTTTAGTTCACATTTTGTTTTAGACATTCTGTGATATAACTACTACTACTACTACTACTACTACTACTACTATTACTATTACTATTACTATTACTATTACTATTACTATTATTACTACTATTACTACTACTATTAATAATTAAGTATTTATTACTACTATTAACATTTTGCTTTAAGTTTGTAATAAACACTAAAAGATGATGAAAGGAAATGATGATGGAAAAAAATATTAGATAAGTATAGTGACTAAAAATGTTTATGAAAAAATGAGAAAAAGGAAGAGAGAGAGAAAAGAGGAATTTAAATTATAAATCGGCCTAAATATTAAAATGAGGGGATCTAGCGGTGTGTTTATGCTGCACTACCACATTAATTTAGTTTTATTTTACTAAATTTGTGTCAGTGTGTGAATTTGTTGTGGGTGTTGCTTTGTTTTTATGTTGATTTTATGTTTATTGTATTCTTTTAAATGTTATATTCTGTTGTCTTTAATAAAAATGTGCTTTTTCTTGCAGACAAGCCCGAAGTGAAGATCGTTGTGGAGTTTCCTCAGGGTCTGACAAGAGAAGGAGAGAACCTGGAGCTCACATGTCAAGCTAAAGGCAAACCAGAGTAAGTGAAGCGTGTTATATTCTAAGGCATATTATAAATTAGATATAACGAAAACTATGTTGCAGTGTGTTATGTTATCTTTGTGACTCAGTTCCATCACGCATTTGTCGTAAATAACAACTTTTTAGCCGTATCTCCTTCCTGCTCTCACTCATGTTCTTGTCCAGGCCTCAGAGAGTAAAGTGGGTCAAAGTGGATGACGACGTTCCCTCCCACGCCGTCATCACCGGACGAGATCTGTACATCGAGAACCTGAACAAGTCGTACAACGGGACGTACCGCTGTGTGGCCGCCAACGCAGTGGGAGAGTCCTATGACGACTACATCCTCTACGTTTACGGTACATTTACACACGTCACTTTTATTGTAGCCTAACACTTAGTACATGTCGATTTAGACTTAGACAAGCTTTATTAATCCACAAGGAAAAATGCTTGGACATAGTAGCTCACACATCACTTAACCAAGATATTACAATAAGAAAGAGTAAAAATATAAATAAAAGATAATAAAAGATGTTTAAAAAGTAGAAAACATTGCAAGAGACTGATGTCAAATAAGACATACCGTATTTTTTGGACTATAAATTGCTCCAGACTATAAGTCGCACCAGCCAAAAAATTTATATAAGTTGCACCGAACTATAAGTCGCACTTTTTGTGGAAATTTATTTAAAAAAATCAGAGACCAGGAACCGACATTTCATTTTAAATGTCAAGTTCTAGTAAAAACAATAAAACAGAGAACAACAGACTGTTAACGTCACATATGAACAGTTCTTCAGATAAACTATAACATAAACAACAGAACAGAACAAGTTTACCAAACTCTCCATCTCACTCCAAATCACTAAATCCATTCAATTCTTCATCCTCGGTGTCACTTCTGAACAACTCGACCTCGACCTCCGGAGGTAAACAGAGCGCCGCTTCCTCTTCTGTGTCACTGTCGTCAGACTCAGCATCAGTTCCAGTTAGAATTATTCGGGCCTTTCTGAATCCCGACAGGATGGTTTCGGTGTCACTGAAGTTCAGGCTTTGTCGATCCATCCAGTGACTTCCAGGAAAGTTACATGGTGCCCAATTTCCATAAAGCAGTGTTCTCCATTCCCGCTTTCTGCCAGTTCCTTACAAGTTTCTCGCTCACTCCAAACTTTCTTTCTACTGCTCGATTACTGTTTTTGGCTGATTATTTCATTACTTGCAGCAGGACAGAGGCTCTTTCTGCAGGAGACATGTGCAGTAGAGTGTCGTGACAGTGGTACAGGAGGAACAGGAGCAACAGATACTGACACACAAGACTAGAGCGCCCTCTCAAGTCTGTCAGAGTGAAAATTTTAATATATACTGCAAGTTGCACCGGAGTATAAGTCGCAGGTCCACCCAAACCATGAAAAAAAGTGTGACTTATAGTCCGAAAACTCCAGTAATTATATAAATGTATATGTACAAGTAAAAGAAAATATAGAAATATAGTAATATAAATATATTTCAGCTATATACAAGAGGTCGTAAGGAGAAGCAGTGCAGAGATCGTCTTGTATCCCTCACTGAGCACAGCGCCTCTGTATCTCTATAAATAAATAGGTTATTTTCACTTTCTAGAAAGCAACAGGGATGTCAACTTCATTAAAAATATTAAGCTATTTGAAAGCGCTGTGCAAATGTGAAAACAGAACTAGAGTTTGCAGCATTCAAAAGTTATTCCTCACATACCTTATACATTCTGAGCATAATTATTCACCACGATGAGTTTATAAGCACTTTTCACAACTGTCAGAGATCAGTGTGGAGTTTTGCCATGACGGTAAAGCTTGCATTGTCACATACCGTATTTTTCAGACTATACTGCACACTTAAAATTCTTCTAATTTTCTCAGTAATCAACAGCGCGCCTTATAATCCTTATGTATTAATTCTGGTTGTGTTTACTGACCTCGAACTGGTTTTATGTGGTACACGGCACTCAAAAATCTGTCAAAATGTTTTAGTATGACTTTGGTAAACTACAAAGTGTTTTTTAATTTTTTTTTATTTATAATTTGTCAAGTTTGAGGGATTGGATACCCAGCACATCCACAACAAAACAGACTTAACTAAATATAGAACTAACACGCATACAAAAAAAATAAAAATAAATAAAATAATAATAATAATAATAATAATAATAATAATAATAATAAATAATAATACAAAAAAAACAACAAAAAAAAAGCAAAGTCTGAGCATATGGCTGCTGTAGTCAGGAGCCTTGCAAAGTCCAACATAAACTGAACCGCATCATCAGCATCATCGTCTTCGTAGGAAATTTAAAAAACTTCAATTATCCCCCCACATTCACATTCATAAGCCACATTCACCAAGACAGGGAGGCAACGCCGGGTGAATTACACCACGATCTGTCGACGGATCGTGGACGCCTGGGCTAAAGGATCAGTCTCAAGTGTCATCTGTTTGTTTCGCTTAACGCTCCTTATAATCCGGTGCGTCTTATGTATGAAAATAGACGAGGGAACTCAACATTAGTGATATTGCACATTATAATCCGATGCGCCTTATAGTCCAAAAAATACGGTAATCATTTTCTTCATCAGTTCCTTCTCTCAATAATTGTTACGCTGACATTTTATCGAAGTGACTAGATCCCTTACTAAACAATATTTATTCAACCACACTACAAAATCAGCAGACTAACTCTACTAATTTTAGCTCAAATAACAATTACTACTCCATTTATGTCTTGTTCTTCTTTTGCAAATCACATTAACATCCATCAAGGCCTGGAGGTGTTGTTTCAAGGTTTCTGTTGTTTGAAATGCCTCAGGTGTACAACAGAATGTATGCTCCCTCATCCCAGTTTATGGTCTATGGTACATTTTCAGATTTTAATAGCTTCTCTTACCCAGCAGTGATTCTTGTGGAGTTCATCCTTATTATTTCTTCAAAAAGATAGAGGACCAGAGAGGAGATTGACCAGTTTGTTTTTTGTCACGGCTGATATGGATTGTTGAGAATCCAGAGAAACTGATGGCCTATGAAATCTGCTGAGAGTTTTGGCAAATTTTGATCATTTTCTCAAATTATCTCATTTGAATTTAGTATAAACTCATGCATGACCTTGTTTTACCACAAAATGGATAAGAGAGCAGTGCAACCACATTTTTGCAGTTCTGTCGTTTCATTTAAAATTTACTTTTCATATAAAGTAATAAGTAGCTGATTTGGCCAAATGAAATATAAAATCAATCTGCAAAAATATGAACCAACTGATATGTCCAGACCAAACATTTCCTTGTAAGACTTTACATCCGGTGTCCTGTCGATTTGAGCTCCCTAGTGCTAATGCGCTTGCACACGACCCCCAAGCACTGTTAGCGTTAAATTACCATCGATTTGAGCTCCCGAGGCAGAAGTGGAGTAACGAGTAACGTTTTAAAAGTGTATTGGTTTTATTGTATGTTTTGACCAGTGTTAGATTTGCGGCAGAATACCAACATTACATGACTGAAGAGATTGGATTTAATATTTGATTTTATCGTTTTATCATATTTTATTTTGTTTCCAGGTGTAGAAAACATTGTAACTTTGTTTAGAAAGGCGATGTATACATAAAATATCACTATTCACACTGTCGCATGTGATACTTATTAAATGTAAAGATTTTAGTGTTTCCAGTCATTTCTTTCTCTTCTATAGCGGGAGCCTTATTTGATAGAGGATATAGGCCTGTCGGAATGAGCTACCTCTACGCAAATTCATCTGAATTAGTGAATAATGATGATTCTACAGTGGGAGCATAATTCAATGGTGAAATTGTCCTGTCGATATGTGCTGCGTTTAGTCAGAGCCCTGTTAGAGCAGAATACGACTGTCCAAATGAACTACTTAAGAATATTCATAAAAAATGTGTTGAAATTCGAAATAACTAAGGTTTAAAGTTTGAGAAACCTGTGCAAACATCAAACCTGCATCTCTGATCCAAAGAAATATGTTGTCAAACTGAGGAGGTTTGGCTTTACTGAATCTATACAAGTGTACACGGAAAAACATAAAGTTGCTTATTTCGACGGGGCAGCGTGAATCAATAGACGTCACTGTGAATTTAGGCTGCAGGGGAGCTCATTTCGACAGAGCAGCCCATTTTGACAGAACACCGGCTTCTATACTGCACATATATACATGGACGGAAGATAATTTGCTAAGAATGTACCTGTAAATTTAACCTAACCCACATTTAATATTAATATGTGTATTAATTCTCAATAACCCATGACCCTGTCCTTTGCATGAACGCCTCCTCGCACCTCATGATTATAGTTTCATTCTTCTGCCTGTTGCTCATTTGTTGTCACAGTCACTAACATGTTTAATAGTTTAATGTCTGTCTATGGATTTCTGCAGTGTGTTTAGCTTTTAAAATCCATAGCCAGGCCCAGGAATTTAACAACATTTATTTATTTTGAATATTAAACAACATCGATGTGTGATCATACTGTCATATAATGCTGTTTTATTTCCATTTTGATTCATTAGTTTGTTCAAAAGGGCACACTGAGCAATACCCAATACCAGTATCAACAAACTGGTATCTATATTTGCTGATACTGATACTGGAACTGACTTATCTCCCATCCATATTACTTTATGCACCAGAATTACCCTGTTGTGAGTGTATTTTACTTCATTCACAATCAGGTTAAACTACTACTGGTGCTGTTTAAACATACAGTATATGACCACTCAAAAGTTTGGACAAGCTCTCATTCAATGCTTTGTTTCTTACCACTTTATGTATTTTATATACGTACAGAAGAGATTCAGATATATGCACTTATGTATGGAATTATTTAGTAAAGTTAAATAGATCTACTAAATATTTATCGACAAAGCAAAGGGTGTTTAATTTGAGGATTTGGTTATAAAATATTAACTTAAGTTCTATTTGCTACATAAATATAGGTTCCGTGCTTCCACTCAGTTTCATTTCTCTCCAGCGACTAGGTCAGGAATCAGAATACACTAGACGGTTTTGCAAGAACCGCGGAAGTTGTTGACGCGCACCGGCCAATCAGCGAAGAGCTGTGAAGCCATGACGTCAAACTCGTCTGTCTGGGTCCCTTTTGTGGAACAGCGCAACAGTAAACAAAGCGGTCGAGATGGATGTAGACGAAGACAGACATTCTGTGTTGGCAACGACTCCCGAGATCGAGGATTTACAGCCGGAACAAAGAGAATGTTTGGTGAATTTTATCAAGAAGAAAGACGTTATTGTCCTTCCTACGGGATTTAGCGCATTACAAACGTCACGACCAAACAACAGCGATTGGTTAAATTTAAAAAAAGTACCCGCCTACTGTAGAGCGAACGAATCCTAATGTTGCGAGGTCAGACAGTTTCTACGAAGTAAATCCGGCTGATGAATCAGGCATAACATAATTCTATATCTTACTTCATATATTTATGTAATCTGTATCGTATCTAAAATTTAGAAAGTACAGGGTTTCAACGGTCACGGAAATCCTGGAAAAGTCATGAAAATTGAAAATGATATTCTCCAGCTCTGAGGAAGTCATGGAATTTTGTAAATTCAATGAAAGTTTTGGAAAAGTCATAGAATTTTAGTGTCTCTTTCAGGCAACTACAGCGTTCTATTAAGTTCTCATTAGGATATTATGATTATTTCCAAACATCCGCGCCTTTTGTTTAAAGGAGACGACAAATGCACTGACAGTATTTTGAATGTTAAAAAACTATAATCCCAAACCATAAGGTGAGTGGAAAGAGTTAACATTTCATATTTAGTCCTAATAGTAGGCAGTAGACGCGCCTCCAACCCCATCAAAAAACGACTGCGCGCACCTCAGTCCAGAGCGCCCTATACACGAATCCACTCGGGTGTCCCAGCACGACTTCAGTAAACTACAAAGCCACACCACCCGCAGAACACACAAACACACACGGAGCAGACAGCGACCGCACAGAGAAACACACCCACAGACACACTCATCACTCCACGCCGACGAGGAATGGAACGGAGGAACGAACCGAAAAAGCGAGCGCAATGTGCCACTTCTAGACACAACTGAACAACTGAGTCACTGCGAAGACGCCGACAATCCACGCCACAACCAAGCCCCCAGGTTCCAAAATGGCTGACCATTCAAGTCAATGGGCCGAATGGACCGAGCATGCGCAGTCGTGCTCTTTTCTCCCGCGGGCACACGCGAATGCACGCGAACGCACGCATGGAGCGCGGGCTTGTGTATTGCGTGATCGCTTTGACCAATCAGAGCGAGAGGAGCTAGAGTGGAACCGAAGCTAACAATTATAAATCGTTTTTTTAAGACAACTGAAGGATTTTGAGCTGAGAAAAAGTGTATCATCTAAAAATAGGTAAAAAATCACCACAAAATCCAACATTTTTGAAAGTTGAACGTCCCTGTCAGCCGAAGACAAGCAGTTTGTGATTATATTGCGCTCTATGAGAAAAATCTTCTCTCGGCACATGGGACTTTTTCCGCTGTAGTACCAGTGAGTGGCCACTACGTCAACTCGAGGCAGCTACAAGCAGCAACACTGAATCCAGTTATTTTAATAGATCCATGGCCACAACTGAACAAAGCCCAGAGTCATCGTGAACGCGCCAAACAAAGTCCCACTGACCCATCACACTGTTGGGTTTCCTTTAAAGTCCGGGGCGGTTTATTTGTGAAAAAAGTTCGAAAATAGACCATTTAATGACAGTGCGTCTTATAATCCAGATGAAAGTATTAAACAGAAAAAAAAAAAAAAAAACTGAATGAGAGAGTGTGTCCAAACTCTTGACTGGTCATGTTTGTTTTGGATGGGAGAGTTACAGCGACCCGTGAGCCCTGTCCCTGTTTTTTTTTTTTTTTGTTTTTGTTTTTTGTTTGTACTCATTGGTTTCTCCCTGTGTGTTGTGTCATGTGTTTCATCAGATGCTCCCACCACCACCCCCATCCCCACCACCACCACCACCTCCACCACCGCCATGCCCACCACCTCCCCGCCCCTCCCGGAGAACCACCCAGGTACAGTACGAGTGCACGCAGCCTTTTCATTCTGATCTGCTCATGCGGCTCCACGACATGATCACCGCGGAAAGAGCGACGGGGAAGAAGTGCTGGTCTGGAGTTGTTTTATGGTTTTATTTTATTCAACCAGGTATAAATTCAATTGAAATAAAAAAAAGAAGAATAAATTTTTTCAAGGGACTCCTGGCCAAGAGGCGGCAAAATAGTTTGGAAATTGTGGATGTCAGAGAGTGTTTTTGCCACCATTTTGCCATTGATGACATTTTGGACACCCTTACATCTGTCTTTTCCCATCTACTTCCACATCTCTCACTTGTTCTAAAATAAATAAATAAATAAATAAATAGGACACACTCATTCACTCATTCATTTTCTGGTAGAGGGTCCATTAAAAAAACAAAACAAAACAAAAAAACGAGAGAGAGAGAGGTTAAATGTACTGTATGTAACTTTCAGGAGGTGTCACCGTGAAAATAGAAAAATAAATCCAGACTTTAGAATATTTTCTGTGGAGAGAGATAAACTTTAAGCCATGCTGCGGAATAGAACATTTCCATGAGAGAGTCAGGTCAGAGTAAGAAGGTTGTTCAGTGCAACAAACAATAACAAGGAAACAAACAAACAAACACACACACACGCATATCTATTTTTTTGGCGTAAAGCAGGGGTGTAGTGGGTGTGGTACGTGGGAGTACGCCGTCCACACACTTTTCCCAATATAAAATATTTAAAAGATAACAAATATAAAATAGCTACAACTTAAATGTCAAACGGGGACTAAAATAGGACTAAAAGAGGACTAAAACAGGACTGAACCAGGACTAAAATGGGATTAAACCAGGACTAAACCAGGATTGATCCATGACTGAACCAGGATTAAAACAAGACTAAACCAGGACCAAAATAGGACTAAACTAGGACTGAACCAGGACTAAAACAGGACTAAACCAGGACTAAAACAGGACTAAACCAGGACTAAAACAGGGATAAAACAGGACTGAACCACAAGGAATAAACCAGGACTAAACCAGAATTGAACCAGGATTAAACCATGACTAAAACAGGACTGAACCAGGACTGAACCAGGACTAAACCAGGACTAAAACAGGACTAAACCAGAGCTGAACCAGGACTGAGTGTCGGGACAGGCCTGCATAGACTGGTGCAGAGCTCTGCGCCCCACGTTGCTTTGATGACACCCTGCTCCATGGGCTCAGATTTCTATCTCGCTCCCAAGTCCAAGATTAATCCCAATTTAGTCCTGGTTTAGTCCTGTTTTGGTCCTGGTCTAGACCTAGTTCAGTCCTGTTTTAATTCTGATTTAGTCCTGGTTCAGTCCTGTTTTAATCCTGGTTTAGTCCTGCTTTAGATCTGGTTCAGTCCTAATTTAGCCCTGTTTTAGTCTTGATTTAGTCCTGGTTTAGTCCTGGTTCAATCCTGTTTTTGTCCTAATTTAGCCCTGTTTTTGTCCTGTTTTCAGTCCTCGTTTAGTCCTGTTTTAGTCCTGATTTAATCCGGATTCAGTCCTGGTTTAGTCCTGGTCTAGACCTGGTTCAGTCCTGTTTTAATCCTGCTTTAGTCCTGGTTCAGTCCTCCTGGTTTGCGTACCCCCACTTAAAAAAATACCCACTACACCTCTGTCTAAAAGTTTCTTACTATGTCTTTAAGGTATTTCAAAATAAAGTTACACCAAAAAAACAACACATATATTTAACAATTATAAACCACATTTCGGTGAGTATCCATTCCTGTCAAAGTGTAAAAAAAAGTTTCTCCTCTATTTCTTTTGAATTGTTGTTCCTCTTTGGATTGCAGCGCCCCCTGTGTGTGGTGCAGTGTGGTGCCTCGTGTCCATGTTTTGGCCTGTCCTGTTTGTGTCCTGTGTTGTGTGATGCAGTTCTGACGGCTTGCTTATAGATGTGGTCTGTTTCTCCCTGTACCTCTTCTTGATTTGCATGTTCTCCTCGTGTTGCACCTCCTCCTCCTCCTCCCTGTGTCCACCTCAGATACTACGCCCAGCACCGAACCTGCAGCTCATGGTGGGTAATGTCGACTTTTGCTTTGCCGTTGTCATGTTTTTTTTTAATTTGTTTGTTTGTGTGTGTTTGTCCTTGAGTCACTGGTTCATCTCCATCAGATTAAACTTTTCGGAGTCTTTAAAACGTGAAAAACAAAGCAGGATTTGTCCCAAGTTCTTCCACATTTACTTTATGCTTTTCAAACAACCTAATTATTCACCACGATGAGTTTATAAGCAATTTTCACAACTTTGAGAGACCGGACTGGAGTTTTTTGGTCATAGCTATGGCAACTAGCATGCTAATACGCACATCCTGCTTATTGGACAAAACATCAATCTGTAATTAGATGCACACTGAGCACAGCAGACTTATTTTGACCTCAAGATCTACTTCTACAATACCCTGCCACACACTAAAGGATTTTTCGATCTTAAACCATTTTTTAACGTGCGACAAAAAGCGCACATCACAGACACGAGGAGAAGAGATTTTAAATCTCCAATCACAAAGATCGCTGCTCTGCATAAAACAAGTTAAAGGTTGTGAGCGCGATCACGTCAGCTGTTTCCTGTCTAGAGTAAAACGACTCGCTTCAAAGTATTTTACAGAATAAGAAATGCATTAAAATCACAATACAAACAAATCAAAACATGAATAATCATTGTAGCGGTCAAAACTTGCTCTATGCAACGTCCGCTGTGACTCTGTGGTGTCTTCCATAAAAAGACTCCAAATGCTGTGTTCCTCAATATTTGTTGGTGTACCTTAGCCATCCAATCATACACAGACTCAGCACTCATTGACAACGACGACGGTCCAAAGAGTGTATACCTTCACTGTGCAACACCTGTGTGCTCATTTTCCTCCCCTTTCATAGGGCAGGTACTTGCATAAATTACAATCATCATAAAATTAAAAAGAGAGAGAAACATTAAATGAAGAAGAGTTTAGAATGAAAACATTTCAGTCATATGCAGCTAAACAGAACCCTTTTGAGCCTGGATTTAAACAGATTCAAAGTAGAGTCTGTTTCACATGTTCAGGAAGACTGTTCCAGGTTTTAGCTGCGTGAATCTGAAACTCTGACTCCCCGTGTTCAGTCGTGACTCTGGACACCAGCAGGAGGTCGGTCCCTGAGCTCCTCAGAGTGTGAGATGGTTCATGTGGCACTAACATGTCACAGATGTGCTTTGGGTTTAGGCCATGGAGAGACTTGTACAAGCAGAGCTGCTTTAAAGTCTCTGAGCCACAGGGGGCAGTGCAGAGACCTGAGCACAGGACGCATGTGCTCCAGTCAGGACCCGAGCTGCAGCGTTCTGGATGTTCTGGATGTTCTGGATGTTCTGCAGCGTCTCACAGCTCGTTTGGAGAGACCAGTGAGCAGAACATTACAGTATCTAACCCAGGGGTTCTTAACCTTTTCAATCTTGGGGCCCAACTTTTCCTTGCTCTTTTTAGGTGTTAAAAACCTGAAGATGTTATTAATTTGAAGGTTCTCATATTAAGTGCATCATATTGTTCTGATTGTGGGGCCCCCAAGGAGGTGGTCATGGCCCTACTTTGGGTCCTAGGCCCTATAGTTAAGAATCACTGTCTAACCTACTGGAGACAAATGCATGGATACGTCTCTCCAAGTCTGATTTAGACAGTAAACCTTTGATTTTTGCTGTTTTTAGGTGGTAAAAACCTGAAGATGTTATAAATTTGAAGTGGCTGTAAATTAAGAACCTTTTACTTTCTTTGAGTAGATTCAGCTTGACAAATCGAATTATCTACCAGTGGAATAAATGTGTTTTTCTTAATTCACACATTAGATTTTGTTTCTTCAAGTGCAAATAGTTGTTGTCTTTCTTATTAATTTTTTTTCTTAAGTGCAGCAAGATGTATTTTCTTATTTTAAGTACAAAAAGTCTTGTTCCACTGGTAGATCATTTTACTTATCAAGTGAAATTTACTCAAACCATGATGAGATTTTCTTCAAGTCAAGTCTTTAACGTGGCTAGATTTTATTGATTTTTTGCCGTGTACAATCACCGAGCTTCGTTCTTAAACGGCGTCAGACGATGATGAGATGGAGCAGTGACTTGGTGTCTCATGTTTGTGTGTTTCTGTTGTGATCCAGTCTTCACAGCATGCTGCATGACACTCAGGATGCCCTCACAACTCCAACCTCTCCTAACAGGAACAGTTTATATGTTTACAAGCATTTCCAACCCGTGCTGACACCTGCCACCACTCATTTCACAGCAGCACATACACACTTGTGACCAGAAAAGTCCGTTCTTGAATACTTTGCAAAGATGTGAGTTTGGTCTCCCAGATGATTGACAGGTGGATTAACCAATCAAGGACACACATGCTTACGATAACAAAAGAAAGGAAAATAAAATGACATAAGGGATTGAAAAACTTCACAGAATAAATGAGCGAAGCACCTAAACTCTGTTAACGTGAGAGAAATTTGAACAAAATGACACATGGACAATGAGCTCTTTCGTGTCACTGAAATAAACAAATGTGATTGGATGTTGCTGTTTGAATCTGTTTTGAGACACAACAGAGAGAGTGGCAGTGTTGGGGAGTAACAGATTACATGTACCGGAGTTACGTAATCAGAGTACAAATTATGAGTAACTGTATTCAGTTACAGTTACTGTTTCAGTGAGTGGTAATTGGATTACAGTTACTTTGTTGAAATAAATGGATTACATAGAGGTATTTTACTGTTTTCACATTTGGGGCAATATCCCCTTTTTTTTCTCAGTAATTCCACTCATTGCCGGACACTAAACTAGGACTAAAGCAGGACTAAACCAGGTCTAAAACCAGGTCTAAACCAGGTCTAAAACCAGGTCTAAACCAGGTCTAAAACAGGATTTAACAGGACTAAATCATGCTGCGTGGACCGTGTCTCCTCCTCTTCTATCAATAAAGACTGGACTTTTTATTTGTCTTTTAACAGACAAAACATCTTATGTGAAGATTTCCTCGTCTTTGTTTCTCTACAGCAAACCAAGTAATCTAAAGTATTCAGATTACGTTACTCACTTTAAGTAATTTAATGAATTACGTAACAAACTACATTTTGGTGTATGTAATCTGTAATCTGTAGGGGATTACATTTTAAAAGTCACCTTCCCAACACTGGAGAGTGGGGACCAGATTGATATCCTTTCATATAAAAAAGTACTACTAATACTACTGATACTACTACTACTACTTACTATTGTTTCTATTAAAAAAAAAAAAAAAAAAAAAAACATTGACATCCCTCCATACTGTCATACAAACAGAGATTAATAAGCATCTATCTGTACTGAATCTCGCCTATGAGTCATCTCAGATTTGGGTGAAAAAAATTCCAAAAATTTCTAAAATTACCAAATGAAAGAATCTAAAATTTTAGCTCAATCACTTGAGTCGTTCCTGAGTTTTGGCCTGTTGAAATTTTGGGGCCATGCTCACTTTTTCAGACACCTTAATTTATAAACATGTTTGAGAGACCAGAACTTCATCAAAAATAGAGCTAGGAAGCTGAAAATTTGTATTATTGTAGAGTTTGGGTCATAGATTCTAAATATGTTCAAATATTGTGTATCTTTATTAAGGGGAACGCTCTGGGCCCCCAAATCTCACATTTCTGAAATCCAAGATCTTTTTACTCCAAGCTGATATTTACAAACTAACTGTTGAACCTGAATATTTGAGAGAATGACCATTTCTGACAACAATCTCACACTTTTCGGAGCTTTCACGTGGACGGTGTAGAGCCCCAAATATGGACACAGACCAGATTTGATCTTTTTGGGCCCTTCTTTGGACCCTCAGGCACAGTTAGATGTTGATAATTTTTTTTACCAGAGAAACTTTGGCATGTTCTGATTAGTTTAAAGTAATAAAACATCTACTAACTCCCTTCATTTCAAACAGAATTTTTGAAAATGAGATCTCACGGGTCATTTTGTGGTGGAGCTTAGGTATTTTTCAACCTGCTGGCGAGGTTAAATTACCTTTAATAGTCTTAAACACTAGTTGCTTGTTATAAGGAAAGACAGTTGGAGATTATTTGTGGATACATTGCTTGGAAAAGTGTAATTAGTCCCCTTGATAGTCAAAAGATTTAAATCAGGATGGAATCACATGGAGGTTACAGTTGCTGCCTGCTGTATCACTGTAACTAGCACATATTCTTTGTTTGAAATTAGATAAGGGCTATATGTTTTAAACCGAGAAGAAACTACACTGTGGTCCTGGGAACACAGTGCCCCAGAGAAAATCCAGGAAGCTGTAACATGTTTTGAGATTTAGGCTACGTTCAGACTGCAGGGCTTAACGTTCAATTTGGATTTTTTTGTGTGAAATCTGATGTTTTTGCGAGGTCATTCACATTTCCAATTAAATGCGACTTGTATGTGACTCCAGTGTGAACATTAAACGGCCCAAAAGTGTCCCGCATGTGACACTGGAGACACGACGACGTCAACCGCAGCGAGCGTCTCTGTGTTTATGGAAGTTGTCCAAACATGGACGCAGCATTGAGCACCTGGAGATTTTAAAGTTCCTCTCGTACCGGAGCCAGAACATGAACAACTTACTTGTTTTAAAGGAGGAGATTGAGAAGGAGAAGGACGAGGTTTTTGGTCGTGGTGTTTTGTGGGACAAGCGGCAGCGACGTCCGTTGAAAGGAACATGTGGATGTGGAGACGGTAGCCAAGAGTGGTGAGTGGAGATGTGCTTTGCTTCAGTGACATGGAGTTCATTAACAATTTTTCGCCTACTTCAGCGCAGAATAGTGACGTTTGTGTCTTGTTGATAACGTGTAGGTCGGATGAATGCGCTTTGACTGTTCACACTGAAGTCACATGTCAAAAGATCAGATATGTATCAGTTTCAGGAGCACATATCCAAGTGTCCTGGGTCACATTTGAAAAAAATCGGATCTGTGTCGTTCAGACTGTCATTAAAAGATCAGATACAGGTACATAGGAGCCAAAAAATCAGATTTGGGTCACTTCAGG